CGGTAAATAATTAACTTATTCTGCTCTGCTGACCAGGACTTATGAGACTAGTCATGAGTAGCTGCAGCCAAATTCACTTCAAATAAATAACAAATCCTTGAATTAGGATTCAGTTTTTGATTCTATTTAAAATAACTGTCAAACAAAAAATGTGGTTATTTCTACATAAAACAGTGCCACTGGAGGAAAACTGCAGGTTTGACAAGCTCTCTTTTAAAGTAGCTATGGATGCCTCAACGTGACTGCACATCTGGGCCTTTCCACCCAGGTCCCCTCCAGCTAACCCCCTTGCGACCCCTCTCTCTTCATCACTATCTGAGACAGAAGACATTGTCCCATCCTGAGCTGACCGCCCAGTGGCCACCACGTTAATGAAGAGTAAATTATGCATGGCGCCAGTTAGCTTTTTGATTAAAACATCATACAATCCCTCTATAGGGGAGGTGCTGCAAAACAATGAAGGTTGTAAACACTTTTTTCCCCCAGTAGCAGCAGAATACTGCTGGGGTGTAATAAATTTGCATAGTCTGGCACAGGACAAAAAGCCAATTAATTGAAAAGAGCTCATGAAAGATGAGGACGGGGGGCTGTGACAGAGCAACAGCCACTGGGACTTGACTCAACAAATGCTCTGACGAAGAGACAACCCAGTTTTTCTTTTAGCCGGTCATTTACAACAGGTTATTTTTGTTCTTGACGTGGTGAAAAATCATGTAATATTCAGGACTGAGCTCAACATGCGAATCGCTGTGCGACAGTGCTGAGGTTGGCACCTTTCTGCCCGTGACGACTGCTGAACTTGTCTCCGATCTCTGGTCGCCTGGTCTGCCTCAGGAGGATCTTGATGAGGAAAGCATCTTCAGCATTGGACGAGATCATGACCTTCTCAATGTAGGAGTCTGTTGAACCCTTGTAACTGCAAAAGGACAATAACCAAAATAATTTTGGATAGTCAAAGTTATGTGTCGTGTTTTAAATCCACAGACAGAAACCTGAACAGGTGCGTCCACCGTGAGGTGGCATGTTAGGGTGGGTGGGTGTGGTGCTGGGATCTGATGCGCACTCACGAGATGGGCACGTCCCTGTACTGGGGCTGGCCTGGCTGGGCACTGCCCTCCAGTGGTGTCTGGGTGACAGTTGGCATGGACTTGTTCACCAACACCTGCTTGTTTTCCACTTTCTCACCTGCACCACACACAAGACAGTAGATCACAGTGTTGGGATGGCACTCCCACACACACACACACACACACACACACACACACACACACACTAAAGGAAAGTATATGCTATTTTAGATGCGATGTTCATGAGGCAGCTTCACCCAACTTGCAAATCTTCCTGAAAAACAAAATAAATCAACACTGGTGTGAACAGAATCCAACTCATCAAATCATCAGCCTTTGGTTTATCGATTGATCCACTTGGAGACACCGATGAAGATGTAACAGCAGTATTTTCTGGACAGTGTGCAGATCCTATCAGCAACATTTCTATTAATTTTATTGTGGAAGTACACACCAGTTGCTAATCAAGAAAAAGGACATAACAAAGGTGCAACAGTATAGCTATCCAGGCTGCGTGGTTAAATGTTGATCCACTCGGTCCCAGCCCTGTATGTCGCAATGAATAAGTAAAGATATAATATTTCATGTAGCACTGAACATCTGAAAAACAATGCCAGCAAAGTAAACTTACCTGTAAAAACTGCCTGTCAAATCCTCCCTTAAGCTACTCTATAAGTTATAGATGAATCTCGTGTACTGTATATGATCAATCACATATACTGAAGCACTTTAGGTGAGGAGCAGAAAAGCATGCTGGGTCTCCACCGGTCTCGCTGGTACTCACCAGGGGAGCAAATGCCATCAGCATCCAGGATGCTGTGCTTCCAGACGGGCTTTCTTGTGGCAGCATCCAGCATGGGCCCCATCACTTTGTCAAAGGTCTGGTTGGTGTAACGCCGCAGTATGCACTTGGTGTTTTTATAGACAAGGCACCGACCAAATCCTGGAGAGAAACATGATGCTTGAACTGGTTGTCGATCTGCAAATTACCTGCCACAGAAGTCTTTTGTTTTCTTCAAAATGAATTTTAAAAAGAATCAAAACTAATGACACTAATAAAAATGTGTCTGACAAATTGCTTTGTGTCATTTTTGTGTCACTGTATCAACAGCTCTCACCTCTGTCTAGTGAAGCTTTGTTGAGGACCAGGGCGTCCTCAATGTCATAGCCACTATAGCTCATCACGGCCACAGTGGCATTCTGACCAGCAGGCAGTTTCTCAAAGTCGATCAGCTCGATGGTTTTTGTTTTGACCATGGGCCTCTGAGGATACGCCAGCAGGTACATCAGAGTGTCAATACGGTTCCTCTGGTTGTAGCCGATAGTACCTGGAGAGAGGAGACAAAAGGTGAATCCTAGTTCTCCTTACTGCATCCAAGTTCCCCTCACTTGCATCTTTTCCTTGTGTCTTAGTCCCGCCCATGTGAGATGCAAGGAAAAGATGCAAGGAGAAACTGTGAAGAGAGAGGAACCAAGGAAACACGTTTTAATTGACATCAGACATCCTTTCCTCTGATCCTTAATGTGAGGCATCCAATCACGAACGGATTTCTAATAAAGGGGAGTGTTAATCTGTAACAGACTTCCACGAAGGACACACTCGTGCACCTTGGTTACAGCTCCTCCAGACAGCCTCCTCACTCCTCAGAGCAGAAATAAGAGCTTTGGAATGTCATCATGGCAGACCAGAACAACTTCTGGGTCAATCGAAGAATGAAAAGATAAGGGAATTGGGATTTACTGATGGAGAGTAGATAAATATGGCTCACACGATATTTGGATAAAACATCACTATAACTCAATGACATTCAGAACTGGGCCTGGTTATCATCACCTCAGGGTGGTGCACTGAAGCACCGGGGCAAGTTATGGCATAAAGCCTGGCCTCCCTGGAAGCCTTGAAATTTGTCAGATGCTATTACTTCACAATCAGGCCACAAGCACAGAGTCTGTGATAATAAGCCCGGGCCACACAACCAGATTTGCACATGTATAGGGCTGTTCACACAAAACAGACAAGGCAGAGGGTATTGGGCCAAATATAGTTCCAGTCTGTGTTTTTGTAAAGATGTGGGGAGGGGAGGAAGGGACGGACGGAGGTAAAGCGCTGGGGTGGGGGTGACGGAGGTTCTTACGAATGTTAGCAGGGCCGTTTGGGGAAGTTTTGGTTACCAAGGAGCTGCGGGTGCACACTCTGTAGTCTTTCGCAGCTGAGCACACTGACCTCCTGAGCACAGCCAGAGCAGACACAATGAATTGCTAATGACACTCTGGGTGACTGGCAGGGAAAAGGCCTCCGCACACACACAACACAATAGAGAACCTACGCAAGCGCCGCATGTTTGATGTCCATGCACATACACACACTGACACACACATAGCAAAAACACTTAATCACACATACAAATGTATTCTGACAAGAAGTAGAGCAGGAGCAGAGTTTAGGGGGAGGTGACCTGGTGGGCTTCTTGTGTCTATACCATTTGTTATTCTAATGTCTTTCTGAATGATTTTAACTTGTGCAAATAAAACTCTAAACTCTGAACCAGCAGATTTAGGAGGCTTAAGAACAGTGTTTGTGTAAGTTTTAAATACTGTAAGTATCTGTATCTGTGTGCGCATGCACAAACGTAAACACCGAAGCCGTGTGGAGGATGTTTGAGAATGGATTTGAGATCTTCATACTTTTAACGACTCGCTCGGTGAGTGAAGCTACCTGCTCGGCTGTCTTACCCATGGCCTGCTTGCCCATAGCACATTGGTATGTGTTTCTGGGTGACTGGTTGTGGTGAGGGTAGGGAATGAGGCCGGCACACACCCCGAGCAGCGTGAAGGGCTCAATCTCCAAGTGTGTGGTGTCTCTACAGAAACCAAGAGAAACAAATAAAAGAGGCGGTAAACCAGCGTCTTGATGGACATAAACAAACCACAAAGGTCTTTGCCTATTTATTTTTTTTTATTTCAGCTGAATCACGTGCCACTCACTTGTTAACCATGTGTTCATAAAGAGCGATCTGACAGTCATTCTCCTCATTGACATCCAGGTACTCCACCAGGCCCTCATGCAGGAAATCCTCAAAGGTTCTGCAGTCAAACAAAAACACATTTCAGAAATGGACAGTCTGCTCTTTTAATATACCCTGTTATCTTCAAACAAATGTATGCTCCAGCCCCACCTGTAGCCCTGTGACAGATCCTCGATGTGTCTCTTTTTCACCATCGGCTGTCCTTTCTTCACTATGATGTACGGCCTGAGGGAAACAACACCACAGATCAAAGCGGAATACTGTCAAACTTTTCACCCTATTGTTATTACAACCACATAGCTAAGTCTTATAATTTACAGAACTTTGAAAGTCTGAACCACAAAAGAAAACCATTTATCTTCCTGTGCACACAAATTGAAATGCATTGTACAAAGACCCAGCTGTATTAGGGAGGGTTTCTAATTATCAATTACGGAGTATTCTGCTTATTGCTTAACAATAACACTTATATGTATGCTTTTTAATTTCTTAGCTATATCTTAAGAGGTCTAACATCTTCCAAACTTCCTCACCTGCAGAGACGTCCTCCATCAGATGAGATGTAGACGCAGCGGTCAGTCAGGTTGGTGGAGATGGACACAAATTCGTTGATGAATCCCGCCCTACGCATCAACCTGAAGGTGTTGACCAGCTTATGATGATCTCGAATCACACCGAGAATATTACCTGTGGGGGTAACACAGACAGGTGGGTGGACAGAAATATACAGACAGCATCAATGCACATATTTATAAAACTAGGGAAACACTGAAATGCTGTTGTCAACTATCACCTTTAAATGTAAACAGGCATCAGTATTGCATGAAGATATACTCTGTAACCAGCAGGTAAGATGGTCCTATACAACGTTAACCATTTTTAAAATGATTCAGCTTTGATTAAAGGGAAAAAAAAAAAATCCAACATCCTGCTTTATATTTGCTTTCTAATCAAGTGTTAGATGAGAAGACGGATTTTGTCATAATATGTGCAAATGAACAAACAGATAATCATTTCTTTTTTAAATATCTGGCAGATCTGTTTATTTCCTGCTTGTGTTCCCCAGTTTGTCTAATGTAGAGTTACAACTAAATATCTGTATAAACAGTGTGTTCATTATTTTCTCAATTTGACATTTGAGAAACTAGGACCAGAAAATATTTAGCAATTGTTTTTGCTTGAAAAAGATTACAAAATGATTAACCAGTAATGAAAATATGAACCGATTCATTTTGGTCGGATTCACTGTTCAACTAATTTCTTCAGATCTAATCTTAAGAACAGATGGATCAAAAAGTTGCAGCAGAAAATTAAAATTACTACAGGATAATTAAACAGTGTGCAGATTGAAGCTGTGGTTTAAATTCTCAAACACTCCCATCCACAAACAGCATGCATGTACAGTAGGGTACTCTGAACCTCTACAGCTGGGGAAAGCAGAGCTCAAACTGCCTGCAGGGGTTTGGTTCATATCAGGTCTGACAGACAAACGACTGGAGAACAGAGGCGAGACTGTGTGAGGGCACATGTGCGGCGAACACACTGAGGGCTTTGACACCTGCTGCTACCAGCTAATTAAATGCTATGGCAGCTAATATAATTTGACAGTTATCAGCGGTGAGACAAACATATACGGTAATTAAGGGGCCAAGTTCTGACTCAGGAATAATACCTACTGCTGCCATGAAATTAATGACTTATCAGCCTCCCTGCATAACACAAATGTGCCCTCTGTAAACCAAATAGAATTTTTTTTTTCCCCTTCATGTTCATAAGTAATGTATTCAAAACTGGGTGGATTAGGCTTTCTTTTTAAGTGATCTAAAGCAAAGGCATCTGGTCTTAAGTCTCTCTCTGTTTATTTATTTATTCATTAGGCTCCACTGGTGTGGAGGAGTTTTACCATTGAGGAAGACGAGGAAGACGCTCGGGTAGGAGAGCTCCTCTCCACACAGCAGGTTGACGTCTTCAACGCCAAGGTTGAAGGCCAGTTTGACGATTGGACCATCCTCCATGTCGGTGGTGATGTGGGTCATCAGAGCCAAGTTCTTCACCAGACCACAAGCCTAGAGAACCACAGCGATGATATCCACCACGTGTATGTGTTTAAAAGCCTGTTTCTGTTCATTTACTCTGAATATTGCTAAACACGACACTAAAATACTGGAGAGGGACCTGGCTGCAGACCAGGATTTGCACAGTCAACTTTTCCTAGAATTTGGATGCCATTAAGGGTTAACATTTACACACATGCACATGTGCACATGCTCAAGTATGCTAGATGTATAAGCTTGACTGATTTTTATGTGATGGGTCATAAACCCAGACTACAGTCCAACATGTGAAGCTGTTAAAAAAAATTTATTTAACAAAGCACAGCATGACTCATAGCTGCAAAACATTCATTCTTGTTGAAATTCACTCACTTTTTGTTAGAGCACCATGAATTATAGGCTTTGGGCTCCGTTTTAAAAATACTTTGGTATTCAATGTGGAGAACTGTTTGCTAACAGGGTCAGCAGGTGTGGCTGCTGCAGATCACTCACCTCCCCCTCAGGAGTGTCAGACGGACACAGCATGCCCCACTGGGATGGCTGAAGGGAGCGCGGTCCGCTGACCTTCCTCGTCTTCTCAAACTGGGAGGAGATCCTGGTCATCATGCCAAGGGCTGAAATATAGGAGAGACGAGACAAGACCTGGGTGACGCCCTGACGGTCCATCTTGAATCTCTTCAGAGACCAGTTGCCCTATGCACAAAAAAAAAAAGCAAGAAAAAAATTCAAAAAGTGTGGATTCACTCTGGAGCATTTAGGTCTTAAAATATACACTGATTACAGGAGGAGGTTCATTGTATAAGCTGTGTCTCAATTCAGGGACTTCGAAGGACACAGTCTACCAAGGTGTGGCCTAGGTAGCCGGAGTAGACCGGCCAAACCAGAATGAAACTGTCTGGTCTATCTAGGATTTCGTTTTTTACATTACCAACCGTTCCTGTCCTTACCACTGCATTATGACACATTGCTGCTGCTCTCTGCCTGCGCACAATCTTGAGATAGGGTGGGCTGCAAAGGATCCACCAGTTGAAGCCTTCATTGCGCGGCAAAAAAAAGGATGCATTTCTTGGGCACGTTGGAGGAGCCTTTGAAATGGAATAGCCTTGTTGCCATTTTGGACGCAATCAGTCTTCAAATGCAGCCTTTGAAGGATGCATCTCCCTGAACTTGGACATAAACTATGCTAAATAATATAAATGCAAAGATCCCTTACTTAGCTACCTTTAGAGCTTTCTTTAGTTGGGGATGGCAATGGCATATGGCCAAAAATGACTGAAATAGCCAAGCAAATAAACCTTAACTTTAGACAATTGTTGATACTATACATCAGTGGCTCCCAAATTGTGTGCTGTGGGATTTTGTGACAACCATACATTAGTGCTGCAGTATATAACAATACAAAGGTTAATTAATTTTTAATTTGCTATATCAGTTCTTTATATGCACTCATTTCCCACTTTAGAGATCAATCCTATAGCCTAAAAGAATCACCTCAAGAAAGGAGAAAAAACTGCCAGGAGACAGTATCATGAAAGCTACTTGTTTTATGGCTTCACCTTGACTGCGAATGTCAGCAGTCCTCAGCCTGAGCGCATCATCTGTCGGGAGAAGTTAGCTAATGCTAATGTGGTGGCAATCAAGCTAAAGTGGCATTTGGAAACCAAGCATCTCTTCTACATTGAGAGAAACATGGCTTAAGAGCACGAAATCTGCACCAGAGGCAGCAAGACTGTTTGTGGGACTGCGTGAAATTGTCTGATAAGGTGATTGAGGCAAGTAATATGCTAGCGGAGCTTGTCGCACAGTAGATGAAACCTCACACAGCAGCAGAGACAAATCCTCCCCGCTTGCAAAAACATTGCAGGTGTCATGCATGGTCCAGATGCCATACGTGCCCTCTTCAACGCCACCAAGGATTTTAAAAGTGGACACGTGCCAAATTTGAAGAAATTCCCTCAAGACATTCCGGAGATGTCGCGTTCAAAAGAACGGACTGTATGTTAGGATGGACAACCCAAAAACCCGTGGCTATCGCCGGTGCGGAGGCATAAAAAGTAATTAAATAAAGATTTAATTACTTGCCAGAAAGTGTGAATTGTACCTGCCAACACTGTTCACAAAACCAGAGCTGAAGGACAGATGTGGCAGATGGGCCAGACTTTGACTGGCACATGGCTTTGAACCTAGCTTCTCCAGGGTAAGGTGTGCCCTTTATAATAAGTTCTTTCTTCATATTTGTGGTCTTTGACTTGCACACACTCACCGTGGATATGGCATTGACCATGCCGTTGGTGATCTGATCCTGCCGCATGTGCTTGACCACGTCAAACTGAGCTGCTCTCTGCTTAGGGATGATCTGGTCTGCAATTTTCTTCAGTTCAGAGTTAAACTTCTTGAAAAGATCTTCAAACAGCAGAGACAGTAGCTAACAAAGACAGACAGAGAATATGGTCACTAAAATGTTTCTGGTAGATGTTCTTCATATGCCAAGTCTCCAGACTCAACACCTTGAAAACAACAATTGTTTTAGAGATCATCATCATCATCATCATCATCATAATCACACAGTCTCATTCTCCGATCTCCTGGCATGCTGCACCTCTTCATGTCTCTAATCAGCACTGAGGTGCGTTTACAGCCAGATTTAATAACCAGATGTGCCAGCTGACTGATAAGCCTGACCTGGCCTCTGTCCCAGGTCCCCATCCTCCTCAGCAAAGCCTACAGGATGCAACCTCTCTCACAACCCCCACCCATGCTGTACATTAGCATACACCAAAACAAACAGGCAGCGCTGCTCAAAATTAATAAAGAAATTAAGCTTCCGTTAACGCAGCCAGGCCAATTAGTTGAATGTCAGGAAACCATAATTGGAGAGTGAGGAGATTGCTGGTGTTGTTAGTGTGTAAGCCCCCTATTGAAAGAGGGCTCTGTGCTACCCCTCCTCCCATCTCCTGCCCTTATACAGAGCAGGTTGGGGGGTGGGGGGTGGTGACGGGGAATTAAAGGCCTTAAGACAGCAGTAATTACATTATCAGAGCCGGGCCTGCGGATTAGCTCAATCGCTCCAGTCAAGGCAGCAATTCTATTGTCACGGTGCTGAAAAATCCCTATGCTTCCACAGCTTCGGGATTTTGGTGCCACCGCATATCTTTCTCCTGACAAAGCCAGGCTGAAATACGGGGGGTGTCGACAAAAACAAAACAGAAAAAACAAAGCTGGCAGAAAATAATGAGAGTCTTATTAAAAGAAGGACGCAGGAACAAAGATGCAGGTGAGAGATCAGGGCTGGAGCAGGCGCTATCCTCTGGCCCAGTGCTGTGATCCATTCACTCTGAGGCATGTAGGCGTTATTAGTACTTTTCTATATGTGTCTCATTAATCAAGCATTTTGTGTTCTAGTGGCTCTATGAGCAAAGAAAACATAGTAAACACCTTTCAGTGACACAAAAATAAATGAAATAAACACCCGGTTCAATAGGGCTCCTTTAAAATCAAAACTGAACCCTGTCTCGTTTACAGTCTAGCTAACAAAATAAAGTGAACTTACCAAGGGCCTGATTTTATTGGTCTTGTAATATGAAATATAAGAAGCTTAAATAAGGAAATATAATAAGGATTGAATAAGGTATTGTACAAGCAGTAAATGAGACCACATGGAAGACAGGTGCTTAGAGGCTTACCTGTCCGGCCAGCTCAAGACGTTTGTTGCCATAATAATCTCTGTCATCCACCTTGTTGCCTCCCTGAGCTAAGATCACTCTTCTCACCATCACAGCCAGGTAAATACACTTAGCTCGAAAGTTAAACTCTTTGACCTACAGACAGAATACAAAATGATTAGAATATGTCGACGACCTGTCCAGGGTGGACTCCGCCTCTCGCCCAGTGTCAGCTGGTTTTGGCTCCTGCCGACCTGCGACCCTTAGCAGAATAAGCAGTATAGATAATAGATGGATGGATGGGTTGAATATGTCAAACACATCAGGTATGATCCATGATTCTTGTATGTGTGTTAACATACAGGCACATGTGTGAGGATAAGAGATGCCAACAGCTCCCTGGCCTCCTCCATCTTGGTCTTCTTGGGGCCTCCCCACATACGCTGTCTCCGCACTTTATTCCCGAGGTAGCGCAGAGCCTGAGACAAAAAGCAGCAGATACAGCAAACGCCAGGGCGCAGTCAACAGGAGAGTACTGTGATCAGCTTCAGTATTAGTGTACAATAAGCTGCCAAAAGCATATGCGTGATTCTTTAGCTTAAGGAATGTAAATAATGTTTTACATTACTTAAAATATTTCAGTTTTCAAAAACCAAATGTATAACCCCATTCACCCATCTAATCCAACTTCCTTGGTAGAAAACATTGACAAGAAGCTGAACTAAATCAATCGGTGACTAAGTAACAATAGTAAAATAATTAATGCAATAATTAAACACTAAGGAGAGGAAACGATGTGGGGTGATCAGTGATCCTCAGGAAGTTATCGTCACAAGAGGAAAAGAAAAAAAATTCAATGTATCAGTTTTATAAAATGAAGCAAGAAATGTCCTGATTTAGATTGCGAAATATTTTAGCAAAAACTTAGTAAACATGTCTTTTACTTTGATCAGGCATTTGATGCACATATGTTACAACGCTGCCGGGGGCATTTCACCTTTATTTGACAGCTGAAAGTGAAAAGGTGACAGATACTGAGGGGAGGGAGAGAGAGAGAGAGAGAGAGAGAGAGAGAGAGAGAGAGAGGGTGGAGGACACTCTGCAAAGCTACAGTTTTAGACTGAAGGAAGCACCTCAGCTTTTGATACTTGACAGGTTTTATATTCAGTGCTACAGGTATTAAGGTTCGCTACCAGGTCCAGACCAACAGTAAAAAAACAATGTGATAATCAACTGTGGTCAAGGGAATCACAGAGTGCACACACATCCGCCCGCCCACATACACCTCAAACACCTGAGTCAGTGTGCCTCTGGAGCTTCTACAGAACCATGGGTGGAGACTTTCTGCAATACCTCCCACCCTGCCCTCCATAATGTATCAAATATATAAATACTCAAAGGGTACCAGTGTAAAAACAACATAACAAATACACATATATATTACAGGATTCAATCATGCATCTTCATCTTCGTATGTCTTAAGTTTACATCACTAGGAAAAAGTGACAAATTTAGTTTAGGCATAATCTGATAATGTTTTTAAGCCTTATCCGCCTTTAATTATATAGATTTAGACCTCATTGTGCACAATACAATGACCCAATGAATACCATGAAAAGACATCGCGGAAGCTGGCAGAGAGAGGAACATGAGAGCCGCGGCGACCGGTTGCTAGGAGGCAAATATGGCCTCATCAATGCATCAGTGGTTCCTCTAACAACATAATCTTTATGAAAAACAAATTGGCTGATTGCATTCATCTGTAGCTGTCAAAGAAAACATGCAGGCCTCCTGAAAAACCCATGAAAAGCACGACTTAACTTGCCGGTAAAACCAAACCTTAGTCGTCTGATCACAGAGAGACAAAGAAAATATCTTCTGTCAACAGAGGCCGTCGCTTGTTGCTGTGTCTGAACAACATCCTGCTCTTCAGACAAAAGTTAATGGGCACATATTTACGAGTGGCTGATAATTCAACATAGTTGTTTATTGACTTTCAGTTGTATCGTACTGTAAATCTTCTCATGTTATAATTCCACTAATGTCTCTTGTCCAGATTAATAATTCAGAACAAGTTGTGATTTAGAAATTGACTGAATTAACTTTTGGAATTTTGGTTTTAAACAGGTGTTCAGTCTCATGTAATGCATACCAGAGGGACTGTATATACACCAGATTCCAATGGTGGAAAATAAGTAGGTACATTTACTCAAGTACTGTACTTAAGTACAAGTTTGAGTTTAGTACAAGTTACTCGAGTACTTTGATTCTCTGCCTCTTCATACTTTGACTTCACTACATTTCAGAGGCAAATACTGCACTTTTTACTCAATACACCTATTTGGTAACTTTAGTTGCTTTTCAGAATCCATTTAACCAAACAAAATACAGCATAATCATAAGACTTTATTGACCAGTAGTGGGAAATTCAGGAGTTACCAGACAGTAATTCAGATTATAAGTATATAAAGTATCTTAATTAGCTCCACCGTAACCAGCTGCAATGTTAAAGTGATGAAAACAACAGTGCATCAATAATTATAATCAAATAATATGATAAACATTCATGCAAAATGTGCCATGCATGATAAGTACTTTTACATCTGGTACTTTAAGTGTATTTTTAGGTGAACACCTTTGTACTTTTACTTAACATTTTGAATCCAGGACTTTTAATTTGCAACAACTATTTCCACCCAGTGATACTGTTACTTTCCTAGTTGTTTTTTATTATATTCTTAATAATTTTGGAAATATACTGACTCACTCTGTTGCTGAGAGTTAGATATGATGACCACTGTCATGGTTATACACTAAATATGAAGGCTTTAGCTTAGTATAGCAAAAATTCTGGAAACCAGGGGAAGCAACTAGTCTGGTTCTGTCCAAGGTAACACAGTCTGCCTGCCAGTACTTTTAAAGTTCAATAATACACTACAGCATGATTGTTTACTCGGTACAAAAACCAAAGAGTAAAAACACAAGCTGTGGCGTTACATGGGATTACGTGCCTTCCTGAGTCTTTCAGTGACTATGAGGTTGCCAAAGGAACCAGCTGAAACTCCGGTTAATAAGCAGTAGAGGTGCTATGGTTACAGAGCCAGACTAGCTGATGCCCCATGCTTTAAGTTAAGCTAAATGGCTGCTGGTTGTAGTGTCATATTTACTGTTACATATTTAGACATGACAGTGGTATCAATTGTTTCATCTAACTAAATAAGCACATTTCCCAAAGTGTCAATCTAGCCCATCAAGTTCCAAAAATGCTGGATCCTAAACTTCCTATAACAAAATAAATAGCATCTGTGTTTTGACCTTCACACGTTCAGGTTGAGGAAGCCTTGATAACATCAGTTATTTTCTCAGTCTTTAAAATCAGTTTGTTTTTAATCATCCACTCTTCAATTTTTGTGCTTGTTTTAGTCTTTATTTTTTTATGTACCAATATGTTTTTGCATTATTCTACCAGTTTTATTCATTCTTTAATATAGACTCTAAAAAAGGGACTACATCATTTGTAAGTTGTCTCTGTTAATCTAAATAAAAAGTGAATTAAAGCTTCCTCCTGCCACTAAGTAGAATTCACTGTGACTAGCAAACTGACTTTGTCTAAATCACTGAAGTATTCCTTTGATTTTGTAACGATGATTTCAGTTGTTAAGGCAGATACCTGGGTCTGTGTGAAGATCTGGGCTTTCTGACACTCCTCCAGGCTCGGGGCGAAGCTGGCCATGACGTGCTCCTCTGTGCCGATCATCTGCACTATCTCCTGGTCGCTCTCTACACCCATACCCTTGTGGATGAGATGGAAACTGAGTGTAAGCTTTGATGTGAACTCAACAGAAAGTAAGATGGGACAGAATATGTGGACTGATCTAAAATAAAAAAAATAATAATGTGAATATTTGTGTAAGCAAATAAGACCTTGTTGGTGAAATGCACAAACAGAAGACATTTTGCAGCTGGAGCAAGAGGTGTGCCAGGAGACATGACAAGAAGAAGTGTGTGTAGAGGGAGTAATAAGTGAACTGGGAGTCATAGGGATGTCTGACATTTGCTTATGGAAATGTGAGGCTGTGGGAACTGATCCGTCTGTCCCACACTGGATCTGAGGTTGTTTCTACAGCTGCTGCCAAACACAGGGAGTGAAGTGGAAGAAGTAACACAGGATATAAAAGTGCACAGCAAACAGAGAAGGCGCACAAACTTTGTCCAGTGGATAATGACTTCAGCTCCATCTCTTGACATTCACAAGTTGACACGTTTGGAGATGTCCTCAGTGAGAAAGAAGTTAAAGATGCCAGCTGGATAACTGACATTTTTATCAAGAGCTAAGGGTGACACATAAAAATTAATCTGAAATGACTGACGTCTAACTGCTCACTAACTGTAGAGCCTCCACTTCAGCCAGTGGAGCAACAAAATCAAACACAACAGCTTCATCTAGTGATTTAATAGCACCCCCTACTGTCCACTTCGGTCGTGTCAGCACCAGCATCATTAGACGCAAGTTTACCTTGAATATGATGGCAATGGGAGCATCCTCTGACAGAGTGTTGTGTCTCAGGTAGAAGCGGCCTTGTTTGACAATCATATTAGTTCTACTTTTCTTCTCATGAGTGGAGCTGAATTAAACAAACAAGAAGAAAAACAATCAGAGCAGACACCAAAGAACTGGAACACTTTCACAAAACAATGGGAAAACTGGGAACTGATTTAAAGAAAAGTAACTCTGTTAGTTTTAGAAGAGTTGTTCTTACAAATGCAACAAGGGTCACTTTCTGGTGTTAAGAATGAGTGGGTACCAGCACTCTTGTCAAACAAAAACATTTAGAATACGAGTATGTTTTATGAGGAAGGAAATGCATTGAACAAATTTGTTATATTTGCAAGTACAACACCGACAAACACCAACTGCTTACATACACTCCAAATGGCAACTCTGACATTCAAATATACCTTATAAAGAGAAATGAAGAAAAAGGCTGGACCTGGTGACCACAGTTGACATGTTTGATATGGAGTCTTGGTGTTTCACTAGGGTCACACAGCATGGCTATACACAAGCTGTGCTCATCTTAATAAATAAAACAGTCAGAGATATTGTTACACCACCTGGTCACTGAGGCTCCCACGGCACCCTTCCTGTCCTGCTCTACAATGATTCGATTCTTGGACAGCTGCTCTTGGATCAGAATGACTTTCTCTTGACCTTTCACAATGAAATAACCACCTGTGAAGAGATACATCATGATGACAATGATCACCAGCACATTACTTGCACTGTTGCTCTTATTTTATATCATGCTTTGATGTCCATCAGTTGAATCGGTTTTAAGACAGTTCATGATTGTTTACCTGGATCCAGAGGACATTCATTGAGTTTTGAAAACTCCATAGGTGTCTTTCCTGTGAGAACACAGTTTGAGCTTCGCAGCATGATGGGCATCCTGAGGAAAGTACAGTTAGACGTTAACAAAAACACGAGGAAGAACTCAGTGCGATACAGGGTTTCCCCTGCATTCAACAAATGGCACACTGCGCTGCCAAAAATTCATATGGTTCATTAATATTCAAAATGAAACGCTGCAACAACAACTTGCACTTTCTATGGACTGAGGTGGTTACGCCACATTGAGGGCTGTAGTGGAGGCTAAACACATGTAAATGGCACATCCAGACCTGAAATGGCATTTACACAGACTTTACACCTGTTTATGGGCTAACACTGGGTTTCTGTTTCTTCTGCAAACTCCAGGATTGCTCATTTATGAAAGACTACACCGCCACTTCAGGACCACTGTATCCTGTTAACACAGAGCGACCACCAGCACCCAATTGTGCTGCACAGTTTTATCACTACAGCTACCTGGGCCTTCAAGTGTCAAAAGTTCCCAGTGAATTAACACACAAGAAGGCAAACGTGAAGAACTCTATAATGATTCTAAGCTCGTTATGAACTGTCCCTTCACCGATGCATTTAAATATCAGCCTTGCACTGCACACCTGAGAAGACGATGTCAGATCCAGCTTGATCCTGAAGATTTTGGCCTATGAGGTTTTAACATACCTTCCAATGGGCAGTGCATTGCGGATGATTCTCTGACTACCGCGAGTGTACTCTATGTCCACTGTGATGGGCGCCGAGTAGGTCATGTCTCTGAGTCGACACTGTGGAAACAAAAAGTGACAGTGGATGCCCTCCAGTACTAGATTATCTAAAAAAGGCAACATGTTGACTTTTTTTGCCAAATATCCTTATTAGGGCTAAAGCTAAAAATTATTTTAAAGTACAAAATATACATCACACATTCCTTCAACCCATACAGATGCCTTCACATAGCTTTTTATGTCTGATTAACTGTCTAAACACAAAAATGCTTGACTTCCAATCATGTAAACAGAGCAGATTCTCATATTTTACAAGCTGGAACCAGCAAATGTTTGGCATATTTGCTTAATTATCAAAATTACTGGCAATTAATTTTCTGTGAGTATAAATCCTTCAAATAAAAAAAAGAAAAAGGTGTTCAACTACAGTTAGCCTAACTTTGATGCTAACCACAGCTCATATTTAAATGTAAAATCTGCTTCTCTCCTTAATAACAAACTAAGCTCACCTCATGAGGAGATACTGGTCTAGTTACGTTGAAGCTTTCTTCCACATCAGGCATGCCAACGTAGATATTGAGGTATCTGGAAGGAAAACGTTTAAATACTTGGGAGTATCACTGAAGCTAAAAGCTGACACATTTATGTCGGTGTTAAAACAGACATGGACGATTCATGTGACTTACTTGAGGTACCACATTGGATCAGCATCACTTGTGATTTTCTCATTTGCTTTCATTATTTTCTTTATCTGTGAAAGAAGACATTCCTACTGTGATCAACATGAAACTGCAACAGCTGTAACACACACACCCACACGTTTGGGTCGTGTTTTACCTCCACATTGATGAAGTAGTTGAAGGAGTCGATGTGCTGCTTCACCAGACCTTTCACCTGTAAAACACAGGTCAAAAACTGAAGGGCAAGTAAAAGAAACAAATGGGTAAGTAAACTGTACAGCACATCATGCTGATGGTTGGTTGATCAAGAAAGCAACTAGAAAAAAAGCTGAATTTTTCATTGACACGCTACTAAATGTAGCCCAATACACTGTACATGACAAATGTTAGTAAAATGTTTGGGATACACAGCAGCTGTGGATGCAGGGATGTTCAGTTACCTTCAGGAAAGCTGGCAGCAGCTTCCATTTTTCCTGTCAAAGAGAAGGAAAAACAACCCCAAAACAAATTAACAACACGTTGGTTTTATTTTACTTAGGTCTGAAGCATTGGCATCAATTTTCTTAATGACTTTGTACTGTGCAGCTGTAGATGAGTTAAGGCGAAACGGCAACATTTAAACAAAAGCTGCACTTTTCTGCCAATAACAACACCCAAACAATAACACGCTATCATTTTAGCTGTGGTTTAGACTCATACGCTCTCGACACAGTCTCTCAAGCTGTATGTGTTTCTGTGCTGCTGGTCATCACGTTAGCGTCTCTTCACTCGTGCAGTGAAACGCTAAACCTTTAACGTTATTCCTTGTAAACTCACCGCTACAGTGCTGACAGGAGCCGCCAACTCCTGAGGAGTCATGTCACCAAACTCTGTTTCCAGCACCCCCATGGCTATTCAACTGTAAATACATTAAAACATGATCACAGTGTCTGTGTTGATACCACTGACTGCACAGGTTGATACACGGCGTCGGAAGTCGCTGCAACATGCGTCCTTCAGTGTGTTACACTGTAAAGCTTCCGTGCGGGTGGAACCAAATTATCAGGTCCGCTTATGTTAATTCGTTCGATGCTGAACGTGCTGGGCTGCAACAGGCTTTGCTTTGTATGAATCTATGTTATATAGCTCATGTATGTGAAAATATACAGTTTAAGGGATGATAAACTATCATTTTGAAGTACTCTACTTGTGTATTTCAAAATTATGAGGATGTTTCAACTAATCTACTTCAAGTGTAGCTATAAAGGTCCAGGTCAGTTAAAATTAAACCGAATACAATTACATTATTTTATCAGTTCTCATTTCCAGTGATATCTGGCCATGCAGATATTGTTTGGTTTGATCGTCTAGACTTTGCTGCGACTTCTTCTGCCACCAGAACACAAGTCAACTTGCATTAGAAATGAATGTGTGTCTTTGAAAACTATGTTGCAGTTAGGCTGCAGACTTGAAACTCAGGTTCAGCTGACTCCTAAACTGCCTCAGGTCAGAGCTCTACTGTCCTTTGCTCACTGTGTATTTATGAGCCCACTGTAGAGAAACCATATTTACAGTGTGACATTCACATCAGTGCAAACCTTTCTCACAATAAAGAATTGATCAAGTGAACAAAATGAGAGAAGACAATTTAGCTCTGTTGAGCTGACTCAACACAATTTAAAAATTTATAATACTCTACTTTAACTTTACATATTTTAATGGCAGGTATAAACATTTGTTTTCAGACCATGAAGCAATATTTCACTCATGCCAGAGGCATTATTCTTTAGTATACAAATGTAATTCCATGTATGAGAAATAGGTATTCACTGAGAAAATATTTAAAAGTATATTGAAGCAATATTTAGATAGAATACTACTGTTGTACATCCAGCAAATAATCCCAGATCTGATTCAATCAGTACTTAGTAACACCTCCTCTGGCAGATATCACAGCTTGCAAACGCTTTTCATAGCCAGCTAAAAGTCTTTCAATTCTTGTACTTGGGATCTTCTCCCATTCTTCCTTGCAAAAGGCTTCTAGTTCTGTAATATTCTTTGGTCGTCTTGCATGCACAGCTCTTTTAAGATCTACCCACAAATTTTCAATGATGTTTAAATCAGGGGACTGTGATGGCCATTCCAAAACCTTCAGCCTGCGTCTCTTGAGGTATTCCATAGTGGATTTCGAGGTATGTTTAGGATCATTGTCCTGTTGTAGAAGCCATCCTCTTTTCAGCTTCAGCTTTTTTACAGATGGTGTGATGTTTGCTTCCAGAATTTGCTGGTATTTAGTGGAATCCATTCTTCCCTCCACCCGTGCAATGTTTCCTGTGCCACTGGCTGCAACACAACCCCAGAGCATGATAGATCCACCCCCATGCTTAATAGTTGGCAAGGTGTTCTTTTCATGAAATGCTGCTCCTTTTTTTCTCCAAACATGCCTTTGCTGATTGTGTCCAAAGAGTTCTATTTTAACTTCATCAGTCCACAGCACTTGTTTCCAAAACGCATCGGGCTTCTGTAGATGTCCTGTTGCATACTTCAGACGTTGGATTTTATGATGGGGACGCAGATAAGGTTTTCTTCTGCTGACTCTTCCATGAAGGCCTTGTCTGTGCAAGCATCGCTGCACAGTGGAACGGTGCACCACCACTCCTGAGTCTGCTAAATCTTCCTGCAGGTTTTTTGCAGTCAAATGGGGGTTTTGATTTGTCTTTCTGACCAGCATACGAGCAGTTCTGTCCGAGAGTTTTCTTGGTCTTCCAGATCTCATCTTGACCTCCACAGTTCCCCTGATCTGCCATCTCTTAATTACATTTCTTACTGTGGAAACTGCAAGCTGACAACGCTTTGCTATCTTCTTGTAGCCTTCTCCTGCATTGTGGGCATCAATAACTTTCATTTTCAGGGTCTTACACAGCTGCTTAGAGGAACCCATGGTTGCTGGGTGTCCACAAGTGTGTGCACAAGGTTTGAAGAGTCAAAGTATTTGTACAGCTTTGAAATTGGCATTTACCAATGACAGCTGTTGCTGTGCATCAGATCTAACGAGCTGATTAAGGTCTGATACCTTGTGAGAGACTTTGAGACTCTGGAACTCTTAGGGTGCCCAAACTTTTGCACCATGCCATAATAATGTTTTTATTTTTTATTTTTGTTCAATTTATGGCATAAGAAGTAACTATGCATCACTGTTTGCTGAAAATATTGTGCATTTTTTCCATTTCCAAGAGAAACTGTGTTAACATCTGTTCAAATAAAAAATCACCAAAATCTGTTATTTATCAAGGGGTGCCTAAACTTTTGCATAAGACTGTATTACAATTTTCACAAATTAAAACTAACCATTTATTGATATACTGTCCATTGTAGCTAAATACTTGGCATCACAAGCCTCAACATCATTGTAACTGTCCTTTGGAGAAGTGCTATATAACTTCTGTCCTGATGTCAGTTACAGTTGTCAGGTCCATCTAACTAACATGCCTTTCTTCCAAACACAACAAGAACTGCATGGCCACATTTTTTCCAGTAAGCCTCTTGGGAGAGGACTGAGGCCAATGCTGCATTCCACAGCTGCAGACAGCTGTTTTAGATGTTTTTCTCTCCAGCACATTGAAGTATATGTTCAGTGCCACATTAAGGCTGGAAGAGACTGAAGTTCCTCTATGGTCTCGAAACCGCAAAACGGGTGAAAACAGCAAACAGGAAACAAAACAACTAATAATATACAGTAGGTTTTACATGATCTCAGGAGCTGACATGTAGACTGCAAATAAACAGGTGTGAAAAATGAATGTGCTGTTTAACAGAAACAAGTAACTAAACTGTTAAAACATATGTGGCTTGTTAGATGCAACTAGTTGTAACATGTCAAATGTACATTCATGACTTCTGTATCCAACATCCAGGAAGAGATTAGTCTCAGTCAGCTCCTTTGCTGTAACCTGCTCTGTCACGCCTGTGGACTGCTCAGAAATATACCACATTTACTGTAGTGGAGTGTACAAATGGATGCAGAAACTACTTCTGTCTGTTACATAGGCACTTACGGGAGAAGGTGGTTGTGTTCTCATCTCTCTTTGTTCTCATTATCACTGGTTGTGTTGTGTGAATATGTTCCTTACCTGAACAGAGATTGTGTAGTCCATCTCCTGCTTCATGAGATTCATGTCCAGCCTCCACATCTCATTGAAAACATTGGGTAGGTCCTGATTCACAGCTGGTCTGCTATTGAAAGTCAAGCAGAACAAGCACCACAACCTGACAAATTCTGACAAACACAACAACCGTTACTCATGAGAAATGTCCATATAGGCTTCAATACCTTTTTTTTTATTTTTTTATTAATTAATTCCAAGCATGTAATAAAACAGAGAAAAAAAAATCAACATGTAACACAAAACAACCAAACCAATTACCATATACAACCAAAGATAGAAATTTCTCTTGATGATCCTTAGTCATTACATGCTTGCAAGGGAGTAGAAAGAAGTAATACTTATCTAGTTCTACCCCTGGTAATCCAAACTATGGTTGACACAACCCAAGTATTTAACTAAACAACTACACTGGTTAAATTCCCGCAACCACCAAATTATTACATTCCTTCTAACCACAAATCACATTTACATAATTAGAAAACAAATGTTAAACAATAAATTATTCATATCCCACCCATAAATACACCGATAATATCTTAATAA